TTTTTTTTTTTTTTTTTGTTTGCTTTTATCGAGGAGGGCGGGTGAGGATTTTTGTGTTGATAACGAAAGACATGTTGCTTGTTAATGTAAGTTTATACACACACACAGACATCCTGAGAGCAGATATAAAAGTACATACACACTAATCTTTCAACATTACATAGTGAACACACACACACTTGTATAACATGGTGATGTTTTCTTTCTTTTTTCAAGCTAGTCGTAACATGGATTTTTTGTGGGTAAAGATATAATATCTGTATTCTACTTTGATGTGAACTGAACTCGTCTGTTTTTAATGTTTTGTTATTTTTATGATGACGACAATGATGATGACGATTTGCCAAATGTGTTGACACTAAAAATTGTGTATCAGGGCTTGGAAGTGGAGTGTTTGGGTATTAATGGGTGAAATGCCATTTTAAGTGTTTCTGGAAATAATCGGCCTGACTCTGCGGCATCTTGGTTAACAGAAGGGGTTACACAAGAACGTTTACAGTGGGAACAAACTTTAAAACAATACAGCAGAAATACTACGGTAAAGGCATGGAGCAGTGTACCTGCAGATATTCCTCACAGCTGTTGTTAGTCAACTCTCCGGATTAAGTACAGGTCCAGTAGGTGCTACTTTTTTTTTTCTCTAATGGTGTAAAGTAGAAATGAAAACAAGCCAGTGCAAAGTATAATTTATATGATCCTCCTAAATTTCTCGCAACTTCTGGCATCTGAAAAGAAGGTGAAATATTCATCTTTATCGAGGGAAATTTTACTTTTCTGTGTCTAATTTTTACAGTTGCAGTCTCATAGTGCTGGCCACCAACAGGCCCTAGTGAAGCAGCCGGGGGAATAGTGCCTTGCTCAAAAGGCACCTTAACAGCAGCTGTCGAGGGTCCATCATCTACACACCGTGGTTAGATTAATGTGTTAGTACTTAACTTTAATAGGAGCAATTAAACTGAACCGATTCCTCCACAGAGAAACCAGTAAATCCTAATTGATCTCAGACCTGTGAAAGTCTACAAGAACCTGGAGCTGCAATAAGACATAAAAAATATATGTATGTATATATATACACACACTCTTGGTGATGTTTTCACTGGATTTGTGAACTGCGGTCACTGGGGCATCCTCCAATGAACTTTCCATATGAGCAGTTTTCACAGTGGTTGTGCGGGACCTTTTAGGACAGACGGCCTCCAGTCAGTCAGACAGACAGATGGCTTTTACAAAGTGCAGTCTGATTTGTTGTTTTTTTTGTTTTTTTTTCTCAATCAAGTCATGGCAAGGGCTACATATTGAGACACAAACCATGCTCCCTATATGCAAGCCCTTTGCTAATGTATTACTAACACCAGGGCTCTGTCTGAAAGCTCATACTGCATACTATTTTACACAGGACTGTTAAAAGATAAATCGGTAAGCAAAATGAAGTCATGTACAGCATGTAGCCGGTATACACTCAAATCTAGCAAATGACGTGTCTGCACTTTACAGTAGATTACATCTCTATGTCTGCTGTGTATTTTAGTCAGTAGTATGCATTATAAGCATGTTAGGACAGATCCATGGACACATTCTGCCATTTGATGTGGAATGGTTGCTGTTTTCCTTCTAACCAATTTTTTTGTGTCTGGTTCCACCGTGTAACTTAAATTACATGAATAAAATAAACTTTAGGGCTGTGTCAGACCTGAGCTTTGAGTGTGTGACGGTGGTTCGTGCGCATGGCCTCGGCTGAGCTGTGGTGAAGTGGAAACCGGTAAGTGGTGACACTCAGGTGACCAAGCCTGCTTGATCCTGTAACGACGGTATAATGTCACAAAGTACAAGTACAGTACTTGAGGTATGTGTACTCAAGTATTTTCATTTTATGCTACTTTACAGTTCTACTCCATTACATTTCAGAGGCAAATATTGTAGATGTTACCCCACTACGTTTGACAGCTGTGGTCATTAGTTACTTTTAACATCAAGATTTTACAAACAAAACATGATCAGTTTATAAAATATGTCGCATTACAGATTTAACTACCAAAAAGTACATAAAGGAGGTAAATAAGCTTCACCTCAACCAGCTATAACATTAAAGTTCTGTGTACATGTTAATGCATCAATAATAATGGCCCCATTATATAATAACAGACATGACCCATTCTGACACCAGTGCTTCTATTTTAGATATTTATTTGAGTGAACCTTTGAATGCAGGACTTTTACTATAGAGTTCTTCTATAGTGTGCTATCACTACTTTTACTTGTGTAAATGATCTGAATATTTTTTCCACAACTGCTTATAACAATGACAATATCTGCAAACTGTTGTCCAGAGCCACATTAGGCACTTATAATCACCTGAAAAGTGTATGCACTGTACCTGCACGTCACAGTTCTGGCCTCCACACGTTCATTAATTCATGATAATGGACACCTCATCTGGCATTTTCCCTTACACATCAACTATTTATTTCATGTTAGGTCATGAACAAAATTAGTCCCATTTTATGGTATCTGGAACAACTTTTGTCCTGTGTCTGAGAGAAAATAACAGCAGTCATGATGAGACTAGTAAATCCAGTCCTGATGTGTCCCACAGAAGCCACCAGGTGGCACCCCAAGAAAACAGTATAAAAATGGAAAGAAGAAAAGGGGGCGTTAAACATGGTAAAATTAGCCTTCATTTTTATATTCTGTGTTTCTCATTTATAAAATCAATGCTGACATTTTATTGCTGTTGACATTGTTAGACACAAGGATACATACTGCACATGCGGAAGAAGGGGAAAAAAAAAAGAAAACATAAATCCCCTTATCATTTCATCCATTATTGAGGCAAAACTTGTGGTGGTTACTTTAAACTGATATTTAACTTTGCATATTGCAGCATCTGTTGAAGGTCCAGTGTGTATCATTTAGGAGTATCAATGTCCAGAAATGGAATGTAATATGCATAGGTATGTTTTTATTAGTGTATAATCACCTAAATATAAGAATCATTGTGCTGTTACCTTAGAATGAGCTGTTTTTATCTACAGACGCCGAGGGTTGCCTTCCACAGAGGCCACCATGTTGAACCGCTATGAAGAGTGTGAGTTGCAATCTGCAACTGCGCCGCTAGATGCCACTGAATCCTACACACTGGACCTTTAAAGTAGCAGATCAGCCTGCTTGATGAAAGGCAAATGGAAAATTCCAAATTGTTGTTTTGTAAAAAAAAAAAGTAACAAAAACACTTTTATAATCAAATGCAATCTAACAGACCTTTTTCACAGCAGACATTTGACTTAAGGAAAGGCACAGGTGTGATTAATGACACTAGTAATGGACCTATAAGTGCACCCGTCATGAATGTTATTTGCACTATTTCCTGTTAAAAAGTCTGCTTGAAAAATGTCTGTACAGTGCTTCAGAACAGACTACAAACAAATAGCTTAACATTGTACTTATCTCATTACATTCTGTATGGTATTCCAATTGCTACAGTATGTTGTACATGTGTTACTGTCCACTACCTGCAAATTCCTCATCACACATTTTGAGGAGGGAAACCCAGAAGATTAGTTGTAAGCTAAGATATGCGTCACCTCACAGGAAATATGGTGGTCCTGGATCAGAAATAGAACACAAAACCTGCTATTTCTACAGTCGCCACAGAATCATTTAATTGGCTAACAATTGTGAAATTATTGTATTGAATATAGAAGTTAAGTCAGTTAGTTTAGCTGTTTATTTTTTGCTGACAAGATTTTTATTGTTTTTAAATTTGATTTTGAAAAACTAAAACTTGTTGAGAAAGAGAAAGCTTTATATACTGTGAATTAATCAGCTAATCTTGGCTACACTGCAGCTTTTTTCAGCGTGTATATTTTGAAATCACATTTATGATGTCAGTGTTTGTTGGTTCATAGAATTAAAACAAAGAGTTTCCCACCAGAAGTGTGAAAATGTCTATGTGACTGTTAAATTTAACAGTTTCTATGTTGTATTAGGGAAAAAAAAAATCATACTTTTAATTTATTTATGAAGTAAAACAGGGCAAATTAAGCTTTAACTGGTGAGTGTGATAAGTTTGTGTGGAGTCATGTTTAGGTGAGTCAGCTCTCACAGCCAGGCTGTTTCCAGACCAGTTCATTAAGAGTGAAGCTGTGCTCGCTGGTTTGATATGTTTCTTTACCTACTCCAATTAAACCTTAGGTGCTCTCTCAATGAACTGCCGGTCAACTCTCCCACTGATCAATATCTCGTCATAGGTGCTACGCTTAAAATGGACGCCAGAGTCTGTTGCTTTCTCCAGAATATGTAAGATGAATTGCCCGCTGCTTCTGTGCTTAGAATCCTCTCCTGGATCAGCCGTCCTGAGGGTCAGTTTCCTCCTCCTCTTCCTCGGGTACAGGACTTTTCAGCTTACCTACACACACACACACACACACACGACTCAAATGTAAAGATACTGAATGATTTAATTAATGTTATTTTAGACATTCCCAAAAGGTTGGTATTATATATCCATTATGAGTCCATTATATCAGATACAGTGATGGAAAGTAACTAAGAACATTTACTCAGACTGTACTTGAGTACAATTTTGAGGTACTTAAGTATTTCCATTTCATGCTACTCTACTACAATACAGACAGAAACATTCTACTTTTTACTTGACTACAGTTATTTGACAGCTTTAGTTACTTTGCAGATTCTGATTATTAATACAAAAGTAATAATCATAATAATAATAATAATAAAAGGACCAGTATGTAGGACTTAGTGGCATCTAGTGGTGCAGTTGCACAAAGCAACTCCCTCGCTTCACCCTCATACACTAAGAACAACTCTTGAATTTCCAATTTTACCAGTGGCAGCATCGTCCTATACACGTTGTTGCTTACGGTCACTTTTTTTTGTTATCTGTTTTCTGTGCCCTGCAGACCCCTACCCTCAGCCTCCGTTGTCACCACAACCACCAAATTTTGAAAATGGCCGGCAAAGTGATGACAATGAAAGAGATACTAAAAACAAAGAAAAAGCTATATTGTTTTTGTTTCAATTTAGCATCTTACCCTCATCCTTCCCCCATTCAAAATGTTAATATCAATTTTAATACCTTTGTAACTAAACTAATTAACCCTTAGAACACATGATAAACTATATCCTTATCCGGAGTCACAACATGTAAACAAATACTGTCATTAACTGAAATGGTACACAACTTTTACAAGTGTATATATAGTAGTACTAGCAGTAAAGGTTGAACAGCACAAAGTCCCTCTAATAAATCCTCCTGTTTCCAATTGCATGTTGGACACAGCATCAACAGGAAATACCTGCTAAATCATTGAATAAGAGCAGGAAACAGGCAAAAAATATGTCTACGTCTATGATAGAAAGCAAAAGATGAATCACTTAAACGGAAAAAAACAAACGTGTGTATTACGGTCAGTTTTTACGATAAACCAGAGGATTCCACGTATCACGAGCTGTTGGTGGATCCCATTTATTTATTTCCTTCCCCTTTGCAGCACATCCCATCTGTGGACATTTAGCCTCTCAGGGTGTAAAACACCGGGACACATGCTGCATAAACCAACACACTCATTCACAAACACAGAGAGACATGTCAGCTGTTGACGCAGTGATAGGGGATGGTGATCTCCAAATAGTAGGGTCACGCAGATGTGAGGAAGGCAGGCAGGCATGTAATGTTATTTATTGCTGCATAAATGGTGCACACAAACAAAACATCATGTCCTTTCTAAAAACCTTTTTTTCTTCAATCTCGTACTCTTAATGTTTTAATCTCTTAATGGTTGTCCCAATGGGTCTGTTCCATCCCCGGTGGGTTTATATGGTACATTTTAGCCAACTATCAAACTCCTGCATGTTTGTTATGAAAGACCACTGAGAGTAAAAATGTTCCAGACCGTCATGAACATGGACAAACCCCCAAATACAACAAACGTGTTTTAGTGTTTTAGCATAAAATGCACGAGAATATCCAGAAAGACTTTAAGTCAAGGATAAAGAACTCTCACACATTCAGTAAATGTTCAATATAATACATCTTTATTCACAGCCGTTTCTACACAAGCACCAACATCACCTACGGTAATTTAAATTCAGACTGATTTAGTACATTTAACTAAAATCTTTATGTGCATGTGTCTGCATGAGAGGGCGGAAGAGAGAGAGCAAATCAAAACACACAGTATTTATGTGTCGCACAAGAGTGAAGCAGTGTGTTAATGGGATCAGATGAGCAGCAGTGAGTAAGACGGGAAAAGCTGGCTATTGGGAGACAAAGAGATGACAGTGAGCGAAGGTGGCTATCGGGAGACGGAGTCCGGACTGGACGCTTCCTTTTTGTGGTCACATGACAAATCTGAGGAAAATGGGGTAATCAGAGGAGTTTGGGGGGGGGGGTAGAAAAAGAGAATAGAAAGTTGATAGATCATGCAAAGCCACAAAAGGAGAACAGACAAGAAAGAGAGAGGAGTTAGTACTGTTAGTAGTCAAGAGATTTACAGGATATTCACAGTGCTTTTATGGAAATGTAAACAGAGTGAATTATTAGTGACAGACTGAGTGTGTGCAGTGTTCGTTGTTCAGATGCAGTCAAAGTTTAATGGAATATTTTTAGCTTTTACTGCACGTAACACTTTAAAGCTGCACTTTGCATTTGCAATTATTGTTGAGCAAAAAGCTGACAGACTAATTAAGATATTATGGTTATGGACAGAGCAACTGTATTATTCATTTAGAGCTGTGTCTCTATCTACCTGATGAATTAATGTACAATATTTACTCTCTTAGCTGAGTTTTCCTCTCTCAAGCTGCCAGATGTTCCAGCATGTCTTTTGGTGCTGGGCAGGTATTGTATAGCAGTGGTGGAATGTACATTTACTCAAGTACTGTATTTAAAATCTAAGTTACTTATACTTCACTCAAGTCTTTTCTTTTCATGCCACTTTCTACTTCTAGACTTATAAATATATAAATATTGTGCTTTTTACTTTACTGCATTTTCTGACAGATTTATTTACTAGTTACTTTACAAATTAAGGTTTTTTATATACACAAAACATTTTCTCGATGAGTCTTAAATTATTTTACTTGGGTTACATTTTCAAGTAAAGGCTCTGAATACTTCCTCCACCACTGGTGTACGGTTGCTTTATCAGGGCTTATTTGCTGAACACAGCTGCCTGCAGAGATTGATAAGAGCAGCTCAGGCGTAGCAAACAGCTGAGGGAGACAAAAAGTTCCTTAAAGCCCCAGAATTTTAATTTAGCCTTGATCTGGATGCTACAAGCAACTCCTTTCATGTTACATTTGATTCAATGTTAATATAAGATTTACTGATTAATGCAGTTTTACTGCATTCATTTGGCACTAAATGAAAACGTGTACCAGTGAAGCAAACAAAGAGTTGGTGACTTATGGAAGACAAGTCCAGATAACTTATAATAACTATTGATTTATTTGTGGTACGAAATGGTATGAAAATGGTAGTTTGTTATTTTATTATTGCATTTAAACAATTTAAATATATCTGCTTTTGTTTTGTAACTAAGAGTTGATGAGTAATATATATATAATATATATATAATAAGTAGATCAGCAAAATAATGTAGTGGTTGCTGGTTATTATTCAGTATGAATTTGTCAATGAAATGAATACTAGTGTGTGTTTGTGTGTGTAAGACTAACAGTATACTCCAAATAACTTGGATGAATGGGAAATGTTTGCACAATGCTTTTGGGCTTACAGCCAATCAGAAGTGCTGCCTTTTGGTATCATTTACCTCGGGTTGGTGAGACAAACATTGAAATTCTTTCTAAAATACACCACTGACAAACCATATAATGTTATTTTTGCTTGCTGTGTATTTTTCTCTTACTTCCATGTAATAACGCTCATTTTATTTCCCTATCACCTTTAGTTGTAGCCCTACGTGAATCTGACAAAAATGAACACAGTATTTAATTTATTTTGGAGTATACTGCTGGCCAAAAGTGTGTTTTCTGTCTTTAAACAGTTTACCCCCTGAACTGTTGCTCTCTGCCACTCCTCTCTCCTGATTGGCTAACAGCAGACTCGCTTCATTCCCATTGGCTTCCTCTGGCCCATTGTGATTAGCCCACAGGGTAGCGGTGGCATATAGCTGTGCTGTGATTGGGCTTAGCTGATCGTCGGTGTCACAGAGCCCCGCCCCCAGAAGGTGTTGCTCCACCCCCAGCTGAAGCTCTGAGGAGAGAAGAGCGCCTCTAGTGGAGAGATACTTCAGCTACAGGCACGTCGCAATAGAGCGGAAGAAGCCCAAAATAACAACACTAAAATTAATTTGTGATTCAAAATTGTAACTGAAAATTATAAACACAACTGAACGAGAAAACCAGAAGATACAATAATCCAACAGAATATAAACAGTAGCTTTCCCTGACATCTTGTGTAAACCATAAATATTCCACTCAGGCAGGAGCGTCGGGGGAAGGCATCAGACAAATTTGTCTCACTTAGCAGTATGTTTATGGAAGAAAGTTGCTGATTTATTATAAAAAATCTACTGCTATCCGTGGAAAATATCACTAATTAACACCAAACTGTAAAATGGACACAAAAACACAAGAGCCAATGTAAGTTTTTAACGTGGCCTACTTTTCCTACGAGTCATACGAGTTATATTCAGTTTGATTTGTAGATGTCCGTCAAAAACCCTGCGTCATGCGCCAGCAGAGACGAAATATTTATGTAAATGCTAAACCACCAACATGAAATGATCATAAAACACTGTAAAACCACAGTGTGAGAATAAAATTGAATCAGATTAATGAATAAAACACTTCTCTTTATCCTGCTGTATGTAAATCCATGCATTTGGTGCATAGGCTGTTACTCATGGGGCTATTAGCTAACTGGCCTACACACAAACACACACACACACAGTCTCTCTCAGACGGGATCAATAAAAGAAAAGCTTTTATTGTCTCCACTTCCCGGAACCAATTCAGTGCTGCACTCACTGGCAGAGAGCTCGGCACACACACTTATGTTTTTCTTCCTATTTGTCTTCCTTACTTTTTCCTCTGAAGCCTGCACCTTTCCCCACAGACTCATCAAAATAGACTTCTCTGTCTCACATTTGAAGTCAAATATACGCTTTAAAGATTATGAAGGCCTTGCTTAGTCAACCTCTCTAAATTGTTGTGCTAAAGAGAAGTGCTGCAGCACTGCTCCTTCTGGCCCAGTAACAGTTTTATAAATTATTCAGTACAGGCGATGATAACAACATGACAACAAAGTCTTACAGCGATAAAAGCCATCATACAGGTGCACTATGGACACTCTGTGTGTAAGAGTTGTATGTTACTTAGCCTGCACGCCCAAGTAATGAAAATAATAATAATAGACAAAAAGAGAAACATAAAATAATAGTAATAAACTAATTTTCATGACTGTTATCAGGGAAAGGGGTCTGTGCTGCATTTGAGGACTGTTTATATTGACAGTTTTGGTAGAACAGATCAGCCAGACAAACACACACACACACACACACACACACACTGTAAAACCTGATGAGTTAGTTCATCTCAGATTGTTTGAGGAAACTGATTGCCTTAAACTGTTTACATGTATTACCTCCAACAATTTAAGCATGTACAAGTAACTCAAGTATTTATTGTTAAGTTAACTTGGGTAATTGAACACATTTCATTCAGTTAATTTAACTTAAAACTAGCAAGTATATTACACTCATATGCAGGATTTCTCCCAACTTACTTAAAATGTGTTATTAATCTGAATAAGACGACCTTAAATACATGTTGCTGTTGTTGTTGCAACTTAAATTGAATTTACTCGTTCACAATTTATCAATTATCAAAATAATATCCAATTAGTTTTGGGGTTTTGGGGCTTACATTTATGTAATGATATAAAGTCACCCTTAAGAAAATGAGTCGATGGAACAAACTGGAATTATATTACCAATACTGAAAATACTGCACAAAGTTAGTTAGCTATTACTTCACCAATTCGTTTTTAATGTGGGTATAATTCATGGGAGAATTCATGAGTAAGTTATGTTAGCTTACTTCTTTTGTTAAGCTATGTTGTTAGGATTTACAGTGCAAACACTCATTTACAATATAATTGACTCACTAACAATGTTAACCTTACTGTTGTAAATAATGTTGTATATCATTAGAAAACAATAGCTAAGTAGTACCAGTAGTTCTATTGATTATCCTGACTAACAATGTCCTCCTCTGGTAAGAAAATCTGTTTTACAGTGTGCTGTTTGAATGCTGTCTGGTCAGAGTTTGACTCTAGAAGGTTATTTTCACATTCATCTACTGAAAGTGGAAAGTTTCTCTGTGCTCAATGAAAAGCAGATTTTATACATCAAAAATAGTCTGGACGGCATTCCTGGTCCAGTATGCAACTTATACAAGTGTGATGTAGAAACCTGAAGCCATCAGTGCACATCCACTGAGAATGGACTTTACAGTGAAGTAGGAGACATCTTGTGCCCAGCAGCAAAACTTCAGAAATAAACAAAATTAGCATATTTATAGATTCTGGAATTTTTTAATGAGGTTGAAGGAGTAGATGCCCTTTCAAGGATTCATACTTTATTTTCTAGAAAAAAGTTCCAGTTCCAAGCAGACTCTTGAATGTCTCAATATGTCTGGAGGAAATCTTCAAATGTTTTACATTTTAAGGTAGAAATCTCAAAATTTGTTATATTCGATAAACAAAAGATCAAATGAATAAAAGTGTGAACAATAAGAAAAGAATGGATCCTTTAAAATATATTTCGTCCTAATAGTGTGACACAGAACAAGAACAAGCCCAAGAGCCACCTTGTTTCATAATCCATACTTTAAGAAAGTAACCGCCAACCCCCATCACCATCCCCCACCACCCTGCCAGCTGAGCCTACTGATCTAAAAAAACACAGAAGTGGGAGTAAAACCAGAAATAGCTACAAAAAACACAGAGAAAGACAAACAACATCTAATAAAACAAAACGAACTGAACTTCCATACGAAAAGCAAACATATAGATACCACATAGTAGACACTGTGGAGAGGAGGGAGGAGACTGGTATGTATACAGCTGCAACAAAACCACCAGTACATCCACTGCAGAGCTTAAAGTACATACAGCATCAGTAGAAAGTCTTACTGATCTATGTTATAGAAGCTAAGGTTTTCTGACATAAAGAACTGATGTGTCACTGCAGTGGGTATTTGCTCAAAAACTCTGTTTCACATCTTTAGTCTCATTATGAGAACCACTGATTTGATATTCAGCTTCTTAAGTGACGTTTGTCCAACAACATGCTGATTGTTGGTTCGGTCACGCCTTAAATCAACTCTGACTGCACCTAATTCCTGAAGGACAAAAGATGGGTCTGTTGCTAGTAAACCAGAATTAAGAGATCTTTAGCGTGAAAGACACGCAATGCTTCTTTCTGCCTCGGCTTTCAAGGATATTTTCTACAGATGTTTACAGGCGCCATCCCTTTTCTGTCAATGCTGCCAAATGACTTTAGTTTGTATTTTAAATTACTATAAATGTCTTTGTTTGTTCTGCCATCATTTGCTTGTCATTTTCCCATTTTAGAGGCATTTTAATGGTGAGTAACTGTAAAAAAGGAAAATTATTCTGTTCAAACAGATGCACCAAGTAAATTCTCCTCATAATCCTCTCTTCAGGGGGAAATGGATTTCTTCTGCTTTCCTTGCACAGAGCATCTTTTATACCTTTCCAGACATTGTGCAAAATCATGAGCAGACCAGGCTGAAAACTGTGCTGTGTTTACCTTTCATGGTGGGCGGGGCGTAGGTGCTCTGCTTCCTCTGAGCGCCATCTGAAGCCTGGAGAACAGAAAGGAAAAACATTGTAACATAAGTCACGCAACTAGAACAGGAAGCTGCATTTAAAACTATTCTAAAGCCATGCAATATAATGTAAAAACAATGGATGTAAAGTGGAGGTTCTTTTGCTTATACATAAAAATGAATATCAAATAGGAGACAGGATAGACCATGTTTGTCCTCCCTAATCTCATTATAGGGAAATTTAGGTCTAATTAAACTTAGGGAAATTAAACTTAGGGAAGTTTAATTAGACCATAGGCCAAGTGACTGTAAGAGATTTTGTGTTTTCTTGCTGGTTTGTTTCCCTACTCCTCCCGGCATGCATGTATAAATAACATTAATACAAACCTGTGACTCTCCGCTGGCGTTCTGTTGGTCTCCAACATCTGCAGGAGAGACGAGACAGCAGCATTGAGCTCTTTATTGATTCGTCCCTAGCTCACTTTTATAACTTGATGGCACATTGCCGTTACCAAATCTGCATGACCGATGTTTCTAAGCCCCACAAGCGAGAGCTCGGGGATCTAATGGTGTTGTGTCAGTCTGTTGCTCAATCAGTCTGCTAGTTCAAACCACATTGGTCAGGTTTGGCAGTGGGCCTTGTTTCCTCTGGGGCCTGAAGCTGTGCTGTGATCATGTTGGGACCAAACAGCTTTTAGATAAACTCCATATGAACAGCTCTACAGTTTGTTCATTGTTAATAAAGTTTGCCAGCACCCAGTGCAGGAATTCCTGGAATCAGTATTAAGCACCTTTTTAACACCTGCAGGTGATTACAGTCTCTTGAATAAAGGGCCATTGACCAAGGGGTTACTTGGCTAGATGCTGATATTTTTGGCTTTCAGAATACATTTTGTTTGTAACAAAAGTATATTAACTCCCTTTAACTCACTCTCTTACCACTGTTACAACCAGCAATATTCTTTAGCTTTTATTGTCAATAAATCAAGTGCAAAACCAACAATCTCTTAGTACGTCTCTCAGTGCTTTCCAGCTTCCCCAGCTTCTTACAACTACTACTGGGGACGTGACTCTTTAAAAACAGGGGCAAATACTTAAACAGGAAAAATAGTGCACTTGTTTGGGACTATTTTTAGTGGCGGACTAATCAACACTTGGTGCTCTAGTAAGTATTTGGGGCATCAGGATGGTGTTTGTGGGACTGGGTCTGTGTTCATGGTAACAAAGGAATATGTCACACAGTGCAGCTTAATGCTCATGTTTTGAATCTTAGCTGTAAACTAAATGAGTTTAAAACACCAACAGATTTTTGGCTCTGGAGGAAATAAAACAAACTCAGGGGATGTATCTTTTAAGAAAGACCAAACAGCATTATTTAAATATCAGCATTTGTTGAGGACAAACTACTGAAAATAATTCAGTAACTTAAGACAACATCTGCACTGTTTGTCATGGTGATCTTCTTGGTTTCAAAGCTGAGCACACAGTCACTTCTTGTTTCTACAGCTGGCAGCTGGTTTCCACTCTACAGACTCTGACTGTCAGTGGTATATTGGCAAAAAAATAAGAATGAAAATTTGGGAGGAATTTTGTGCACAGATCAACTTTGGGCCATGGAACACTTTTTAAGGTTGGAAGCATTAAATTTACGAGGGAGAAAGAGAGAAAATGAATTCCAAATTCTGTGATTTGATTTCTTCCTTGAATTAGAAGACACTGAAGTTTTGTTATGTTGTTATGTTTATGTTTCCAGTCTTCCTGCTGCGTTTGATACCAACATTCTTGTTCTCCGATTTCTTTGAGAAACAGAAAAAGGGCTGCAGGCGCCTGCAGAGCTTTATAAAGCTACACTGGAACCAGACTCACAGAGCTGAGCTCACAAAATGGAATCAGGCCGATTATTCAATCAGTCAGTTCCTGTGTAGAGGGATTTATAAGAGCTGAGAGCCGACACACGCACACACACATACACTTTAGGCATCCATCAGTCCAGTCTGAACACTGAGATCACTTACCAAAAGCTGCAGCACAAATCTAATAAAGGCTCCATTATAGCTGCCGCTTTTCAGCTCTCTCCATCTCCCCCTCATCTCTTCCTCTCTTCCTCTCTCTCTCTCTTTCTCTCTCTCTCTCTCTCTCTCTGTCTCACCTGTGCCAGGTTGTCTGTAGATCTGCAGAGTAGCAGGAGTTGGTCTTCTGCGGCGGATCTGAGGTAAACACAAACGCACAGATGTTTTGGTAAGATTTCCCTCTGATCCAACATGGGTTTTTTGACAATTATTCTCTTTACGTTAGAACAGAAAGCTCTGAGGTCAGACTTAAAGCTCACCTGTTTTCTTCGTCCTATAATGTGTAATTTACTGTAACCATCTGGTTGGTTTTATTGCCATTGTTCTCGATGTTTTATCTCGGCCTCCAGCACAAAGTGTCAGCTCACTGTCCAAATAATTAAAGAGGCTAACTGGAGCCCATTTCTTACACTGTAATAACATAACTAAAACGTATTTGTAGAAACTTAATTGAGGGCACTTCATTAACACTTAATTGTTTGGTTTATTATTCCAAATACCTCTTACTGTCCATTTACAGTTTTAGTACCTACCTTATTTACCTACTTACAGGGCTCCTCAGTCTCCCACGATTGTCCAACTGTCCCAGACCTAACAAACATGGTCCCAAATTGGACTTATTTTTTCTATATAAAAAATATAGTTCTTCCATAGTCCATTGTTCTTTTAGTAACTGGTCGAGTTACTGTTTCTTGTTTATTTCTGTTCAATAAATGCATCACTGTAAAATGCAGTGCAAATGCAAACCTGTTTCCAACTGGTATACGGCGATGGGAATTTACATACACACTATCATTATTTAGCCAAACAATCACAAACTCACTACAGCAGACATTGCATATTTGAAGTAGACAAAAAAAATTGAAATCAACAAAGAGAAGCTCAAGCAAACTATTTAAATATTTACAAGCTCAAACTAATATTTACATATAAGCCATAGAGAGAAGTCAAATGCACCTCACACGCCATACCTACTGACTAACTGCACACGGTGCAAGAGGAGAGGGAGAGACCCCGGCACTGTCGGCAGAAGAGCTGTGCAGCATGCATGGGAATTAATTACAATACAATACAGTATATACCGGTCACTTTTTAGAAATAAAGTCACTGAGAGGGTCTGAAAAGTCACTAAATCTATAGTGACAAAGTCGTCAAGTTGGCAGCACTGGTCGATTTTGTGTGTGTAAGCGTCTGACGTAGCATAGAGCTTGTGCCGGTGCCACCTCACATTTTCCAAATTTGAACACCTAACAATTAAAATCTTATATATCCCATAACTAACTGTCATAATTTCATTTGCAATGATACATTTCTCAACCATCCCAGAATTGTCGCAGACACTGCAGCTTTGTGTCCCAGGTGCTATTTTTATTGTCCCCGGGACATCCTTAATTTTGAGCACAGACTTTATTTAGAAGTAAGAATAGCGTGGCAAACATTTTCTATTGTCCTAAAGGCTAACATCAAGAACCCATAAATGTTTATTTTCCTGCCTAATCCTCTTAAAAAGTAGGCTGTAAAAGGACAATGAGAAAAATGTCCTAATAATGACAATTCTTCTAACACGCTTGTACAGCCTTAATAACTACATTTACCAATGTAGCTAATGTAAAGATTGGATTAAACCCACAGTTCCTTAAAACAAAACTACATAAAAATCCTTGGCTTGGCTCACAGCTCTCAGATGAAGGTAACAACACTGCAGGAATGTAAATGTTCATTGTCATCCTGGAGGGGAGACATGGTTTACAAGATGGTATCTCATAAAACCATTGCTGAAATTTATCTTTGACTTCTGGGAATTCTGACAGTTTTCAACACAGGGGCTCCCCCAACAACCACACAGGGGCCCTAATCTGTCACTGTTCATTACCAACGCCATTAAAAAACAACTTCCGGTTTCCGTCGACTAAACGGTTCGTAAAGACGTCAGAGACCAGCATCCAACACTCACGCCTTACAGAGAGCTGTTCTAACTCACTGATGTGTGTAAGCGTGTATGAAAGACCAGCTTCTGTTTCTCTCAGAGTTCGTTAAAAGAAAATTACACCTCAAGTACAGATACAATACACCTGATTCATCTGTGGCGTTCTGTACATTTCAGGAGTTAAATTGGCCTTTCTATCGCACTGCTTAGCTCTCCCACCTCTATGTAAGAAAGATTAGTTGGTTAGTGATGTCCCATGTTTATCAGAATGCCTTTTATACACTCCCCCAAGAGAACGGGTGTGAACTTGTTGCAATCAGCTGCAGATTGTCCATGGTGGGGGTAAATTTAACTCAAACTGTGTCAGTTGACCTTCCTGGATAGTCACATTTACATCACCAGCTACTTGAAAAGTGGTTAGTGGGAGAGAAGGATTTTTTTCTGTTTCTGAGTAATTTGTAACACTGAAACTACAGTAACCATTTCAGGAATGCAGAATTACACATTGGATGTGTTTTTCTAGTGTTAAATAGTTGTATAAGGTATTTGAGGGTGTCTTTAATTCTCCAAACCACCTGCTCACAAACACACACACACATTACACCTTTGCCAATTGCCATTAAAACCAACCAGCCGGCAAAACACTCAAATGTGTCACATGCACGGCCACTCAAATATGACGGACCCATTAAATACACATGCCAGATACACAAACAGCACTTCTCATAAGACGGACTTATGCACACATGCTGGTCTGCACCCACACACAGATCTCAGATAGAAGCTCCATTCAGCCCTCACATGCATGAACACATACCATCCACCCCACTCTGTAACACACACACACACATGCTCAGATGCACTCACATGTTCGGCAGCCTGTGGGTCCAGCTGTCCCTGCAGCGGAGGTACAGCAAACTGGATCTTCTTCGGACTGCTTGGCTCCATTATTACTGACTGAGAGATAGAAAGAAAGACAGACAGAAAGAGAGAGAGAGAGAGAGAGAGAGAGAGTGTGTCAAGGAGGGAGGGAGTAGAGAGGGAGGGAGTGGTCTTCTCTCGACCGATGGGGTCCATTATCACTAATTGACAGAGAAAGAAAGAATAGTAGCCTAGTCATTGCAGCATTTTCCAAAACATATGCTCTGATGCAGAGTGAAGTAGAGTAATAATGTCAGACATGTGTACGTTACTTGTCTTTTTAAATCTTGTGATGTTATTCTGAACTGCAATAACCAAAAAAGTACATACTATGTGCTCAGTCTGACTCATAACTACTACAACTGCTACAGCTATCAGTTTACTGCTAGTAGCCACATTTAGCCCCGCTTCAATGTTAATTGAGTGCTTTTTTATGAAGAACATTGAAAGTTAAAATGGCAATTGGTTTAAAGGTCCATTGTGTAACATTTAGGAGCATCTATTGACAGAAGTTAAATATAATATGTTGTGTTTTCATTAGTGTGTAAATGCCTGAAAAAGAGAATACCTCAGCCAACATATTTTTTTCCTATACTTGCTTGGAGGATGAGGCGAGGCCTTTGTAATCTGCAACTACACTGCTATGCCACCAAATCCTATACAGTGGTCCTTTAAGTGCATACCTGTCTTCATCATGGTTTGCATTGTTATAATTCTGATGAGAGAAAAGACCATTCAGATGCACATTTGAGTCTACTGCTATCAGCTCAGTGAGCCTGTACTTTTGAGCTAAATGCTAGCGCTAGCATGGCAACATGCTTACAATGACGATACTAGCTTGCTGTTGTTTAGCAGGTATAATGTTTATTAAGTTCAGCATCATAGTTGTTTCTGTGTTGTGTTCATAAACACAATACAGCTGAGGCTGATGGGAATGTAATTAGCTTAGCTGCTGGTATTTGGTCATACTGCTATTTGGACAAATGGGCGTTTTTGGTGAAGATGTACCAAATTTAATGGCTATCCATTCAGTAGTTGTTGAGACACTTAACTCAAAACCTCATGCCAACCTCATGGTGAGGCTAGATGAAAACTCAGAGGATCATAGTCTAACCATAAATGTTTGTATGAAATATTGTGCCAAACTGATGTTGATATGTAAGACATGAAAATGTCTTTGATTCATCTAGCGCCAACAGTAGGTCAAAGTTAGTAGGTGTCATCCTCCTGGCATCATGAAAATATCTGGGCATGCCAATCCACCCAATAGTTGCCATGAAATTTCAACTAAAAGTGTCAACTTCATGGATCACCAGAGTCTGTAGGCTCCATGCTCTAGGGAACATGAATTTCTATACAAAATTTCATGTCAGTTCATCCAATATTTGATAATTCAGTCAGTTTTGGACTGGTCAAATGACATTACCATCTAGAACCATTGTTGAGAATTTTAACATAGATACAATGCATGCTGTGTGTTCATGAATGCATGTTTTTACACAATTTGATAAGCTAAAGGTTTAGTGTGCAGGATTTAGGGGCATCTAGCAACTGAACACCACGCGTGTCTGTATTTGATGCCCTGGGAATGAAAGCAGGCTGTGAAGTCCGTAGGAGAAACTGCAGTGACCTCGAAAAGCACAAAAGGCCATATCTATAGCCAGCATTTGTCCGTTCTGGGCTACTGTATAAACATGGCAGCTCAACATAATGGACAAGGCGACCTGCAGCATATGTAGATAAAAACTAATACTGAGTGTAACTCAGAAAATTGGTTTTCCTGCATTTCACAAATGCATTTACAGATCTTTCTCACTTTGAATCTCAGATTAAATTATCAGGACTTGCTAACTTTTGTTGAACCAAGATATTAACACAGTTTGTTAATGTTTTACTTCAAAAGCTAATAATTTATATTCTAGGACCTTGTAATCCTTATATATGCCAAAAAATACAAGTTGCCATTTTTACAGTGTGGTGTTTTTAGAGTATTTTCTATGTTGTACTTCTATATGGACAATTCAGGGTGTTTTGCATATTTTCAGGAAATGTAGGGTTTAGAAAGTACAACCAACACCCCACAACCCTTCTCAGAAAATTGTGAGCATGCATCAAAGGGAAAAAGGGTAACATTTGTTGTATTTGTCATATTTTATTAATTCAGGTAACAGCTCAGTTTCCTGTAATTTTTATTGACTAACATGAAGGTCTAAATCTCTAAATCCTGTGTCAAAGCCCTGTTCACACTGCCAGCTATACAATTATGGCTAGTAAAGACTTTATTTCTCTACTTTTTTATTGCATTGCTTAAAAAAAGTCCAATAATATGAGTCTATAAATACTTAAATCATTCAATAAAATACCCAAAACGTATAGTTTTGGAAAATGTAAAGTCCCCCAAGATTAATAAAACTGCTAAATTCCCAGAAAATTTACAGCGGAGATGATTTCAGTCTTTAGCTACACAACCTGTGCTTACACATACTTAACATCATTTCCAAACCATTTTTTTAAGCTTTACCGTAAGTTCTCAGATTTATGACCCTCTTGGTGGTCATATAGGAGAAAAAAAGTATGTGCTGACGTAGAAATCCATGCAGAGGGAAATTAATATCAAGGATCTGCTTTTAACAATTCATGTGCTAAAAGTGCTCAGCAAAGATGCATTCATAAGGGCAATGAAACTTTCAGTCTGGACCTCAAATGATGGATTTTGAGATCTAACATGCTGTGAGTTGTTGCCTTTTTCCAGGTTATTATGTGCAGGACATTGTATTATTGTTTAAATATTATACATTAAAAACCTTTTTTATGCAATCATACTGTAATATCCTGCTTTGAATTCTAGACAGATATTCAGCTTGCTTTGCACTCGGTTTTGTCCAGTTCAGTTCAGTTTTGTGCACACAGATTTCCACAACAGGATTTTCACCATATGACCCAAAGGGCTTCATATATATAAAGTGCATGTCAGCATGGTCTCCATGCAAGGCCATGCATTTGCACCTTCTTCCTTGAATCAGCCACCTTTTAAATGTGATATATTTACTTTTCACTTCATCAATCCATATGTGTGCACTCGGGTGTGTGTGAATTTGTGTATTCAGGAAATAAATTGAGATACAGTTTCACAACTCTACACACCTTTGCAAATGATATGGCCACAATAATACCTTCATATTTATAAAGTATCAGATGTCAGAGCTTACATGAAAAACTACAGTTTTTAAAATAGCTACATCTTAACTGAACATCAATGCCATAATATCACTTTGGCTAAAAATAAAGCAGACCGGTTTTTCACTAATGGGTTTCTGATTTCAAACTTTAAATCTCTTTAACTTCATTGTCAGAAGTAAAAAAAAAAAAATTTGATGAATGAAAATATTGTCATTTTTTTCTGCATGTATTGTTACAAAGAAATGTATAATGTGAAATTAACAAGGTGAAAGAGATTTTCCATTTCACTCTGACTATAAATGATGTACAAACAGAAATTAGAGGCTAAGTAAGTAAAGAAAAAAAGAAGTTATCCTCTTACTATTCCTCTTTGTTTCTCTATGCATCTGCCATTCTCTACCCCCAACTCAGAAACATTTCTTTTGCCACCAGTGACATCAGTGTGTGCATGTGTGTGTGT